GGAACAAACTTCCGACACCATCCAGCCGGGCCCAGGAAGGATCGCACCTCCTTCTTGGTTTGTGGATGAGGGCACTTCTGGATAGCTTCAACCTTATCCATCTGTGGTGGCACCTCTCCTCTTCCTAGCTGGAACCTCAGATACCAGGTTTCGTGGCGGGTCCACTCACACTTGGCCACATTCAGTGTGAGCCCAGTGACTTGAATCTTCTCCAGGACTGCTTTCAGGGGCTGGATGTGCTGCACCCAAGTCTCATTGAAGATCACTGCATCATCCAGGTGATGTGACATTGGCACTGAACTCCTCACAGCTCTGTTGCACCCCGTCCATGAGGCGTTGGAAGGTTTCTAGAGCACCATGCAAGCCAAAAGTCATAACATAGTATAGTAACCTGGAAGATTCCTGCTGGTGTTGAGGAGACTGTGTAGGGTCGGCTGGAAGCCTCCAGGGGCACCTGCCCGTAGCTTTTGCACAGGTCCACAAGTGCACAGGTAAAATATATAATTCACTGCTGTATATTATACAATACTGTACTACATACATTTTTACCACAGCATTTAAACTCTAATAATCAATTTATGATGGTGCTCATGATCAATATCAGTACAATTAGGATGTGTGTCACTAGTGACCATATCAAGATGTAAGATCATTCACTGAAAGCCTGAAGCACCAACTCAAGTCCCATAACAGGAAGTTAAAAAATCAGATCTAGCTCTCAACTAAATCCTCACGGTCACAGAAACCTTGAAAAGTACTGACTTCTGATCTCTGTGGAGGGGCTTCTGATGGGGTAACAACAGAAGAGCTGTCATCTGGGGAAAAGAAAATAAGTTTTGGTTGGTTAGTTAATGTTAGTTGTTGTTAAAAGTTGGACCTTTTATTACATTATGTTATTGTATTAAGGCACCGACATGACTGCACCTTAGTCTTAAGAGTCAACTCTCTAAACAAATAATAATGTGGTTCTGTGGTTAAAAATATAACCAGCTCAAACACCGGTCTCACAGTCGCTCCACAGCTGAGGGAGAGCGCCAAGAACGGCATCCGGCCAGAACCGACAACTACGACTAATGAAAAGACACAACTCTATAACCGTGAAAATATATATGAATATAAGTAGCATATTATAACTATGATCTTTAGACTGGGATCTGCCTCAAGAGATGGAGTCATCACTTCTATACCAACTTCACATTGTTTTTATCAACAAACATTACCTGGTTTCCTGCCGTTAACTTTTTTACTACAGCATTCTTCAAAACTGATAAATAACACATAATTACAGACGCACATACATCACAATTTAATGTTAAAGTTGCGTACATTAATGATGACTAATACAATTAACTTTTTAACAATTTACTTACAGTTAAATCTGTGGACAACGGATGGGTGCTTCTTCTTTCCACTCCCTGATAATGGCTGATAAGTCAATGGAGCGAATCTGGACCGGGCTAGACGCGAATCCGCTCACTGAGAGCACACATTTAACAAGTGTTAAAAGTGTGTTCACAGTGCGGATCTAAGATGATTTAACTGCATATCTTTTTTATGACATCAGGCTACCCAGGGGTTAGGGTTAGTGACAGTCATAAAGCAAATATGGAACAAATAGCAGACTGACTGTGGGACGGATTTGGAAGACCGAAAGCTGATTCGCTGCAGATCTTGATGCTCTCAGGGTATGTACAGGGCTTTATAATAAAGTTAATTTTTTTCAAACATCTCCAAGGACCTTTTTTGATGATTTAAGGTGGTGAAAAGTAAAGCAGATGTCTAGATTTTGAAAGATTTGAAATCTACATAATCTATTCTCTTTAAAATCACCGGTGTCAGGTAATGGTCACTCATGTTTAATCTGATTCCTTTAAGATAAATCATTGGTCACAATTTAATTTAATGATTAAAAAACCTCCAAAAGCGACTCAGTGCCATTCACTACCACTAACCCACCACTGCTAACATGGCGTCCCTGTTACATTTAGTCACGCGGGTGCAGGAGCTCTACAGTACACGGACACACACATGAAGTGTTTTTATGTACCATAGGGACGCTTGCTCCCTCCCGATCTATAGTTTAATTTGATCTGGATCTTTACAAAAGCTGTTCATTCACATGAGTACAGAAGCCGAGAGGGGTCACAACAAATGCAAACGTTGCAACAAATACAAATGCGACAACACAACAAAAAGCCACAACACACCAAAAAAAGCCACAACACACCAAAAAAAGCCACAATGGAAATGACCCCAATGACTCTATTTTAATGCAAACGCCACAGCACAAACGCAAATGCCGCAACACATTAAAAAGCCACAACACATCAACATGTAGTTCTTCTTCTTCACTTGCCGCTTGATTGGTCCATTGGAAAATAGAGTCCCACAGTCACTTCTGTTGTGGCTTTTTAATGTGTTGCAGCTTTTGCGTTTGTGTTGTGGCGTTTGTATTTGTTGCGGCGTTGCATTAAAATAGAGTCCCGTGATCATTTCCATTGTGATTTTTTTTGGTTTGTTGTGGCTTTTTGTTGTGTTGTTGCATTTGTATTTGTTGCGGCCTTTGCGTTTGTTGTGACCCGTCTCGGCTTCCGTACATGAGGCTGTTTACAGCTTGAAAGGAGAATAATTTAATTCCGAACTGTCCTAAAGTGTGTTTTTGTCTCTTACCCTGTCTGCAGTCCTGATGCTGCGGTGCCGGATTTCCTCATGTAACGGCCGCAAACTCTTCATCAGGCCAAATACGAAAGACAAGACACAGTGTGGAGTCAATCAGCTTTACTCCTGTGACAAATATATAAATACTCTATTAATATGTCTTCACACATTTCAGGCACACTGGCGCCCTCTGCTGTTTCCAACGTGAACTCACGAGAGGGGGAGCTGACAATTACATACTGGCTGTTTTATTACCATATTACACAGGATTTACAAATCATGTGACTCTCAATTATATAAATCATGTATGAACAATAAAACAATTTTAACTTTACAGTGGCAGCAGTGGTAATTATTTGGGTGGACAAATGCACAATTTAAAGCATTTTACATAAATAAAATAAATAAAACATACCTGTGACATACATATAAATATTGTATGAATCTGTCTTCACATATGAGTCACTCTGGCTCCTGTAAGAATGAGAACAGCACCGTGAGATGGACGCTCATTTTCACTGCATTCAGAACAATGTTTTATTATTAAGCTAACTTGAACATTTAACACTACAAATAAAATTTACAAAACTTCAAATTAGCGCACCACAATACACCCACTACATGTGAAAACGTTTTCTTATCAACATGTGTTCTTGTATTTATGCTAACAGTACATCGTTTTTGTGAAATATTTTATTTTCAACCGAGACAGAATTTACCTTCTGCACTTTCCAACGTCCTACTGAGAGCGGAAGTGGAACTACCAAAATAAAACACACGGGGCAGCGCGCACTTCCGGTTTTCAAAATAAAACATCAAAATTATATAATTCATATATAAATGATAACGAAACATAAAATACAACCAGGAAATACTAATAATTAATAATAATCAATAAGGAATTTGCTTTGTAGATTGGCATACATACCTGTGTATGAGATAGATTAACATTAGTGTCTACAAGGTCAATTCCTTATTGATTATTAATTACAACGTGTTGTTACGAGATGATTACATGTGACAGTGTACCTTATAGTCTCTTACTAACTTTAAACTTATAACAACACTGCCCTCTAGTGGATGTCTGTGTATGTGAATCTGTAGGCTCTTTGTGAGTGTGAATTTCTCAAAAATAATGTCTCAAAAATATGTCAAAGAGGAAATCTGTGAATTTGTGTAATTGGTGATCACATTTTACAAACATAATTTTCAGTTTTACAAATGTATTTATTTATTTTCAAATGAAAGAAGATATATTTACAAATACACATCTATTTCTACAGATCAAAATACAAGTTACAAATATTAAATTTGCATTTATGGACATTAAAACACAAGTACAAACCCGTGACTGTCTGTAGATCAACCTCTGTGCATTCGTGAATATTAATGAGACAAAATTAACCCCTGCAGCCGTCCGCACTGTGAGACACAGGTCCAGTCTAACTGTCACAAGCACAAACACTAACCTGCATTAATGAGGGTTTAGGGACACTGGTTTAGTCCTGGTTTAGATCAAGTTTGATCCTATTTTGACCCAGATCTGGTTTAGTCCTGGTTTAGTTTCTGTCTAATCTAGATCTGGTTTAGTCCGGGTTTATATCTAGTCTGATTCTATCTTTTCATGACAAACATGTTAGAGTCAGTCAGAATGAAGCCTTCAGTAGAGACACATGCCTCAGAATCATCACCAAACACGTGGAGCACTGCTGCCCCCTTCTGGCCCAAACACAGAGCTGCAGAGTACAAACACCATTCTGGTCTGCTCAGAGTAAAGTCACAGCCTTGTGCATCCCCTTTACTTCTATGGAAGTAATGATAAGCAGTACTTTTACTCAGATACTCAGACCTGTGTTTTGTGTGTTGTCCACTAGGTGTCAGCAAATACAAGAACAATTGTGCCCACGTCTGACACAACAGCGTGTGTTAGAAATCATATTTTCTAACTATTGACTTTCTCTCATGAGATAATGATGTAAACAAACATCAGAGAATAAAAAGAAGTGATAAGTTCTCTTCAATCAAAAAGTCTGATTTATTGAAGTAATTGTGCACCCAATCACAGAACTATCTGTCCCTGACAGAGTCGTCTTTCCCTAAGTTGGTAACATGATGATGCACACAGAGTCTATATGCTCCACAGATGGGGCACATACATGAGTTAAGATACAAGAGTCAAAGGGTCATGGCAACATCACGTAACATTAACCATCACCATTACATACCATTTATGACCAGATGAAAAACTATTCCCCTCTTTAGATAAGAATAAAATCACTTTGTATTCTAATCAAATATATAAAAATATATATTTGCATGCATGCAAAAAGCAAACTACCATCTTTAAACCTAATCTCTTCAGCAAATGAAAAACACTCATTTACCACTGTGCTGTACGTTATTTATTTACCAGGAGATTATGACAAACACTAATCAAAGGAAAACAAAGGAAAAATCCAGATTTTTAGGTTTTACTGGACCATTAAGCCCACGACAGTTTCCCACTTCATCTACAGACATATTAAACATTTCATCAAATATAGTTTTTGTGAAGCTCAAATACAATGTTGAGATTAGAATTTTTTTTTTTCTCACACAAATGAACTAATATTTGCAATTTAGAAATTCAAAATGGTTAAAACTATTAAATCACATTTAGACCTGTGAATCAGATGATCAATGATTCACTTTGCCTCCAGTTTAGTCTTTTGAACATCGTGATGACGTAAGATCTTAAAGGGTCTATAACACTTTAGATTTTGTTTTTTAAATATACGCTGGTGCAGTGGTGAAACTGAACTGAACATGTGAGAAAGGGGTCAGGGAGGGAGTGGAGTGGTAGGGCATCCGGGCCAGTTGTTCATGTGGTGGGCGGAGCTTGGGTTGGTTCTGGAGCAGAGGTTGTGTGGTTGGTTTCACTTTTAGTCTGGATGATCTTCTTCACTCTCACTGAAGCTGTACTGTTGAGCTGCTCTCGGAGAAACTGGAACAAAGAGAAAACTTGAGTTTGGATCGTAACAGCCCCGGCAGCCTCACTGTTAGCACCACTACTTCCTGTCCAGTTTGGTCGTACAAAAATGAATAAATATTTAAAGATAAGGCAGTGGTGTGTGGGTGTCACTGAAATCATGTTAAAAAAGTACACAAATAAAATTAATATTAGAGCAAAGGACACTTCTGAGTTTAGAAAGAGACATGTTTGTGTCTCAGTGCTAAACTGAAGTATTCTGTCCATACAAATATTTGTGTATTCTGTATTTTAATACATTTGAATGATTTTTTGTTTCTTATACTTTTAACGGTTTTAATAAAGGTGACTGTTACTTGCAAGTCTCAAGTAAGTCTCAAGTCTTTGACCTCAAGTCCGAGTCAAGTCCCAAGTCAAATACAGACAAGTCCAAGTCGAATCTCGAGTCACTGGCCCATAAGTCCAAGTCAAGTCCAGGTCATCTGCTTTGAGCTTCAATCATTTCAAGTCTGTAAACCAAATTACCAAATATAGCTTAGATTTTTGCTATTTATATGAATTTTAAGATAAATTGTACTTAAAAAAATCATAGTATATTTATATATTAGTATTTATAGAGTATTTTAGAGTTGTAGAAATTAATTTAATACATTTTTCCTTTTTAAATGTCTTGACAAGATCTTAGTGTGAATCATTACAGTCAGAAACAAAAGAATTCAGATTTAAAAATGCTTCTCGGGTCTTCTCAAGTCACAGGCCTCAAGTCCGAGTCAAGTCCCAAGTCACTGATCTTCAAGTTCAACTTGAGTCCCAAGTCTTGGTCTGTTTTATCAAGTCAGGTCTCAAGTCCTAAAAATAGTGACTCAAGTCTGACTTAAGTCCAAGTCATGACTTGTAACCACCTCTGCCGTGTGCAGAATGTAAATTTGCGATTTCAT